TAAAAAAAATAATACAAAAAATAATTAAAAACTTAAAAAGTTTATTATCTCATATATTTTAGTCTACAAGCTGTAAAAATCACCATTACAGCTTGTAGGTTCTTTTTTCCCCTCATTTTGGACTGATTGTGTAGATATTCCTAAACGGCTCTGTGCTCTGAGATTATAAAGTGGTGGTTTTTTTGTTTGTTTTTTTAATTCTTTATTTTTCTCATGGGAAAATATTTTAATTATTTTAAAACATCCACTTGATTATCTCAAGTTATCAACTCTCGTGACTTCAGAAGTCACAGACTGTTGACAAGATCAGGAACATAGCAACCTCTTTCTCTTTCAAAACACTAAAACTGTGGAAACTGTAATATGGTCTGTTAAATTTGTACAGTCTGGGATTGAAAATGTGATTTAAATGGGGTTCATTCCAGGCAGAAAATCTTCAGTAAGATCCATCTCATCCTCCTTTGTCCTCGGTATTGGAGTTTCAGAATACGTCATTTTCAGGTCAACAAATACCTTTATCAACTCACTCTCAATAAACATTGTTTATTTCAATTAATTGTGGTTTTATGAGGTATTTTAGAAAATATATTCTGTTCTTTACTCTCCTTGGGGGAATAATCATGAACAAAAACAGCTTGACATCTCTTCCTTCTTCTTCAACTGTCTCCTTGAAACTACTTAGCTTTTACAACTTTCAGCTGTGATACCATCTCTAATAATCTGACTTAATTTCCTACATGCATATTATTGTCCTCTGGGTCATATTCATATTTAAATGTGAGAAGCTCCTGAAAGAAGAGACCCCGTAGATAATGTCCACAGAAGTTTAAAACACAAATTGAAGAAGTACGTATGTATCCTTAGCAACTTAAGTCACAACTTAAAAAGCAACGTGGATTTGAAGCCCTACCTGGAGATTTCGAATTCCACTAGCAAGTACCCTTTTTATCATCTGTTTCATTATCTTTGAAAAGGATTAAGGCTATTCCTCTCAAAGCAACAGTATAAAATTCAAAGGATAAAATGCTTCTGATGAATAAAGATGGGAGCTGGAGGTGAGAAAGCGCCTTGCTGCGCTGGGAGCCCATCCGGATCCTGACATCCTACAGCACTACACGTGCTCACAGCCTTCCCTGCTCGTGCTGTGCTCTTGTACCAGGCAGTGCTCTTAGCGATGCCACGTAGAGAAGCGATGGAGTAAGTCACGATCTTTCCCGTGGATTAAGGGAAATAAGCAGTGAAGAACATAATTGGCAGGGAAAAGGGATCCTAAGACGCAATGAAGGCACACAAAGGTCAGAGAAGACACAAAATTATACTCCAAAGGAAAAACGAAAAAGGCAAAGGATTTATGAGATGGCAGGAGGCATGCAGATGTGGGTAATGTGGACCCACAAGAAAATGGGGACAGATCTGCCTCATTATGATGAAGTCTGACACAAAACTAGGCAAGAGAAATAATGCAGGAAGACCATATTTGTTCTTCTTTATGAGTGTAACACAAAATTAAAAGAAAGGGCAGAATCCATAGGCAGTCAAAACCACTCTGAAACAAGCTTCCCTTAGACAACCGTTAAAAACAAAGGGCATTTAGCTCCAAGCCACGCTGGAAAAAACAACATGCATTAAAAAAGGAAGGGACGAAGACCATCACAGAAAATGTTACATCACAGATTAGGGGCGCAGCTTCTCATGGTTAAGTGCAATGCATTTCTAAGTACTTTAAAAACAAATTTACCTATCGTATTTTAAACCCTCTGACTAATTCCAACTAGTGTACATTGCTGTTTAATTCATACTCAGAGGATGAGCCAGCATTATTTGCCACAGAGACACAAACTTCTGGAAATCCAGGGGAATCTGCAGAATTTGCAGAACTGAATCCCTAAAATGAGTGCGAGGCACAGATGCAATTAAAAAAAAATAAAAAAAAAATCCAAAAACATAGGAATGCACAGTGCAGCCAGATAAAATTAGAATTCCAAAACTGAAAAACAAAACCAGAACAGCTTGACAAGTAAACAATTTTGGAAGCTCCATAACAAAGTTCGCTACATTCATGTGCCTGCTGAGAGGAATCTACGTTCCGAGATTCAGATCCTGCTTGCAGCTGAATGTAGAGTGGAGACAGAAAAGTCCAGAAAGGTATAGCACCCCAACAGACCGACGAGAGGAGAAGGAAAGGCGACATGAGAACATGGCTCGGCAGGTACCAGAGAGGTGCTGGAGGGCTGGTGAGGAGACCCGGCACAGCCCAGAGCGCTGCAGGCAGCAGGATGCTTCTCTGAGCAGCACCAAAGCCAGCTTTGCTGCACCATCACCACCCTACATGGCCAGTGGGATGTCCACGAGCAGAAGCAGCATCCTTCTGCCCTGCCATACCCTATCCCAGCCCATAATGGAGCTTTGCTTTACCCTTCTATCCAGATTTCAGTTCATGTTGGTGCCACAATGTTGTATCAATGCAGGTTCTTCTGGTGTGTTACCAGGAATGTACACAGGGAACTGTGAAATGCAATGGGAAGCATCGGGGACGGCTCTGGCATCCTGCAGTTGGGTGGTTACATAAAGCCATGACCGTCTGAGACAGGTGTTGCTCAACAACACAGCTGATGTGGTGTCAATAGTTCAATGTTCCACAATGTGAGGCAATTCTAAAAATCAGGGAAAATTCACTAGTGTAATTTTATGTACCATGTGTTTGTATGGGGCCAGAAGATGGAGCAGCCCACAAACCTGACTGAGTACTGCGGCTCTGTGCCACAAAAGTTTGTGATTCAGTTCCTTTCAAGTCCAGCAGGATAAGGATTCAGTCCTTAATTCAAAGGCAGGAATAATACACAATGAAGATTAAGAATGTGTTTCCTTATTTTTCCTTGACAGCAGCATTAGCCCGGACCACTATACATGCTTTGTTTGAGTGGAGAGGCAAAATGTAATTAAAGTTTTAATTAAAATTGATCGCAGTCCGCAAAACTGAAATGGATAGTGGTGTTTAACATTGCACTGGAAAACTTTTCAAGTAAATGGATGTTGTTAAATTAGCTGTGTTCTTTAAAAAAAAAAAGCTTTTTGTTAGGAAAAAGAGTCACAGTGAGATCTAATGAATTTGAAAGTGTGTCATAGAAATGAACTACTAGTAAGCATGTACTCTGAAAAGAGGCAGTGAACATGCATTTTACAAAGACCGAGCTTCCTCACACACTCATTTTGCTCTGAATGTGAGGGTTCCACTCCTCAGCAAATCCCGGTTAACAGATACGTGCATCTCTCTCTTCTTCAGAAAGAGGCGGCGAGATCTCCAAGCGCTCAACTTTCCGATATACGAAGGAGGAAAACGCCTATCGACAGAAACGCTCGCTATAAAATATTGCTAAAAATATTTTGCCAGCGGAATCGTTGGGAAAAGTAGCTGTATCTCTTAAACACATCTGCTCTGTTAACACCTTCAGCGCCAGAACACGGTGTTTATCCCTACATTCGCCCCTTTCGCTAACCGCCCGGGGCTCTGGCATGCGAGTAACCACATTTCAGTCGCGATGAAAAGGGCAGGTTTTCCAATTCCCCTGGCCTTTGGGTGCTTTCTCTCCAATTTCCCTGGCCGTGAAGCCAGGTGGTGCAGGTAGGCGCCCCCCGAGATGTGCGGGTCCCCGGGCGGTGCCGCAGCTGCGGGCACCCCCAGGGCTCCACGACCACTGCGGGGCCAGGCTCGGGCTCCCTCTTTCTCACCCAAAAAAAGCAAAGAGCCCCATCCCAGCTCTGTAAAGCCCCCGAGCACGCTCTTCGGAGGGTGGGGAGGAAGGGGGGGGGGGTCTGCAGTTACATAAGATCTCGTCCATCCGTCGTCCCCCCCCCCAAATAGTAACAACAATATTAAATCCTTGTGGTTTCTCCCCACATTGGGGGGGTGTAGGAGGGAACCTCAGGCTAGAGCAAAAGAAGGGAGGGGGAGGAAACAGGGGAAGGGGGGGACAGCCCGATAAAGGAAAGGCTGATGGGGTTGGGGATGAGGAAGGGGGGACACCCTGCAGGTGGCGGCATGCATGGAAGGGGGGGGGGATAGGGAGGGATATAGGGGAGGGGGCTTCCAGCAGCTCCCCCCTCACCGGAGCCGGGACAGCGGGGCACCGCACCGCACCCAGCACAGCACCCACGTCCCGGCTTTACAGGGAAATTAAAAAAAAAAAAAAAGTCCCCATCCCCGCTCCTCGGGGGCGCGCAAAGTTGCGCCCCCCCCCCCCCAATACACACACACACCAAGAAGCCCCCCGCGCATCCCGAGCAGCGGGGGCAGCGCCGCAATCGCCTCCTTCCCCCCATCCCTTCCCTCCCCTTCCCGTGCTGCTCACGCTGTGCCTCAACCTGCTCCTGCCGCTCCTTTGTTTTGCTCTCCGGAGGCGAAGCGCTCTCGCCTCGCGTCTCCCCGTCCCTCCGCCTCCTTCTCACGCCTGCGGGGGGGAGCGGAGCGGAGCGGGGCCGCGCAGCGCCTCTCGCCGCCTCCTCCCACCTCCAGCTTCCCCCTCCTGCCCCGGCCGGCAGCGGGGCAGCCCCCGCTCGGGGACGCGCCCGTCCTGCCAGAGAATTCAGCCAAAAAAAAAAAAAAAAATTAAAAAATAAAAATTAAAAAAAATGAAAGGTTCTTACGGGCACCGTAAGGATGGGGCGCGCTCCTGCCTGCCCGCCGCTTTGGGATGACCTTGCGAGGGCTGCTCGCGCCCCGCGCGGGTTTTTGGGTTTGTTTCCTACTGGAAACCCCAAACCCCGGCGACCTTCTCGTTCTTTTTCACCCCCCCAAAAAACCCGCCCCTACACTTCCACGGTCCCCGAGCCGCTTGCAAGCGCGAACGAGCCACGGAGCGCGCTCCCCCGCCACCCGCCCGCCGCTCCCCTCCGCCTCGCCAATGCGCGCCGCCGCGGAGCAACTTTCCCGGCGGGGACGAGCGCGGAGCCGCGAACGCGCTTCCCGCTCCCCCCCTCCCCTCCCGGGAGGGGGCACTTACAGAGCGTGCGGTGAGGAGGAAGAGGAGGAGGATGAAGGAAAAGCAAGGCGCTGGGGCCGGAGGGACGGCGGCTCAAGCTGCGCGCCCGCCGCTCAGCGCCGCAGCTCAGTGCGCGCCCCCGCGCCGCCGCCCGCCCCGCACTGCAGAGCGCCGCGCGCGCGCGCCCCCGCCGCCAGCCCCGCGCACGCGCCGCCCGCCCGCCGCGAGCATGCGCGCGGCCGCCGCCCGCCGAGGGCGTGAGGGAGGGGAAGGGAAGGGGGGGGTGAGGAGTGCGCCCGCGGCTGAGGCGTCGTGTTGGGGGGGGGGGGTGGGGAGATGGAGGCACCGGGAAACCTCTGTGGGCAGAGGGGGGCTGGGGTTGGGCTTAGGGGGGTCTGCGTGTTTCAGGCACAGTGTGAGGCTTCTCTCAGGCGAGGCCGGGCGGTGTCCGGGGAGCCCCTGGTCTTCATTTGTGTTCTCCTGGAGTATAAGTGTCCTATGAGGGAACTGGGGTTTAGGCTGGGGGAGAGGAGGCGCAGGGGAGACCTTATTGCTCTCTGCACCTACCTGAAAGGAAGGTGTGGGGAGCTGGGGCTCAACCTCTTCTCACAGGTAGCTGTTGATAGGAGTAGAGGGAATGGCCTCACATTGCACCAGGGGAGGTTCAAGTTGGAAATGAGGAGACATTTCTGCTCAGAAAGAGCAGTCAGGCTTTGGAACGGGTTGCTCAGGGAGGTGGTGGAGTCACCGTCCCTGGGGGAGTTCAAGGAGAGGTTGGACGTGGTGCTTAGGGACATGGTTTAGTTGGCAAAATTGGTAGTAGGGGGATGATTGGATCAGATGGTCTTGGAGGTCTTTTCCAACCTTAATGATTCTATGATTCACGATGGCCACAGCTGGTTCCTGGCGTTCCCTGTGAGCTGGGGCCAAATGCAGGCTTCTCCCCGAGCCCTCTGCATCGTCCGTAACCATTGTGTGTGAAGGGCAGTGGCATTGTAGCATGGGCCACACCACCATCCATGGGTTGGAGCCCCCTGTAACTGCCAGGTGTGTGGGGGCAGCACCTCACGCTATGAACTACACTTTCAGCAAGAGCTCTTTCCAACAAACGCTTTAAAATAGAGTTGAAGTTAGCATTAGATGTTTTAACTGGCTTAACATTCAGCCCTTTGATATAAAACCCAACTGATCTTACCCTTCAATATAAAAAGCAACTCATCCTCCAATATAAAACCCAAAGGATATTGCCCTTCGATGTAAAACCCAACTGCTTTTGCCTGTTCTTGTCGCTGCTGCAGTGGCAGTGGGTGCTCTTGTAGTAGTAAAGACCAGGGCACCTGATGACCGTGTATGGCATGCAGCTAATTGGTAGACCCCTTCTGTGGCTAAGATGCACATAAACGTTTACTTTTATGCATGGTGAGTTCTGTTACTGACTGTTTACCATGCATAAATTAAGTAAATTTAGCATGTCCTAAGAGTAACCCTAAGGAAAGCAGACATATACAGCAAGGAGATGAAAGGAGAACAAACTAAAGGCAAATACAAAATAGAGTAGCTAGAGCAAGTCATGCCCATTTTTATTCTGCTATTTATTTCAGAAAAAAAATACACCATCATGAATATGCAAGACACATGATAGATGTTAAAAATGTTTAGTGTACTGGTGAAACGCCTAAAAAATCAAATTATAACACAAACTGATGTGCTAGGTACTGTACAAATACATGGGGAGATAGAGCATTTTCACTTAACAGACAATTGAATTCAAAAGTTATCCTTGTGTGATATGCAAAAATCTCTAATTTTACACCGAGATTTACTTTTTTGTGCAATAAGATGATAATTTTAAGATTTTATATACATATGTATTTTAATTTCCCAGAACATTCCTGTTCCTCAATTCATGTTTTGATTTTCTGCATGTGCAAAAAAAAAAAAAATGCAGCCTGAAAATGCAAAAAATTTAGATTGCTTCCAGTAGCACAGTTGGGAGGTGATTCACTTCACCGAGTATCTCTGAAATTCCTGTTTTATTTGGTCTTGATTAATTTAAATTGTTTTGTGTCATCTTCATATTTACTACCTCATTGCTTGCTCTGCCTGCCAGATCATTAATAATAATCTTTAGCATAATGAAAGATAGAGTGCTGTGGCATCTGCTTGACAAGCTTTAACCAATTTGTTCCTTCCTATTTTCAGTCTCTTATTCTGCTTTTTTATAAGTTTGTTTCTTAGCATCACAGTGCAGTAGTAGTTGTGTGACCTATTTTGATTGTGTCCATATTGCAGTTACTGCATGATTTCACCTCATCATGGTAACTCTTCTAGAGGCAGCAATGTAGCTACGTGAGTGCAGAGCTCTGTGTTGGCAACCAGTCTGGGTAATACCTTGGTGTCTTGGTGTCTTTTGCTGCTGTTTCATGCTTTCATAGCTACTGAGCTGATCTCCATCAGCTAGTTGAAAGCTAGCTTAGGGTTGTCTGCTAAGTGACTGTCATTTGCAGATGACATATCCTGGAGGGGCATGCTTTTCAAGAAGGTGCTGAGCATTTGCTTGCTGAAAAAAAAAAAAAAAAATAGAGAGAAGAATAGGTTGAATTTTAAAGCATTTGGGATAATGCATATTTAAATAGGACTTTTCTTGTGGCATTTTTTTTTCATTAAGTCCAGTGGCAGAGTTCCCATCTACAATACAAAAATGTGGTTTAAGCAGAAGATATTCCATAGTGTGTTTTCATGTATGACTTCCCTTGTTTACATTTCAATAATTCTGTATAAAAACAAGTTACCTATATCATAGCTTCAACTGCATTTGAAAACATGATGCTCATTAAAAAATAAATAAATAGAGAAACTAAGCTATTAATCATTCTAGAAAAATTTGGCTTATTTTTTATGCATTGCATTACAGTAACAATGCTGTACAAAAGCCTATTTGAAAAGTAAGTAAAAGTGAAAACTCTCTGTGTTACTGCTCAGACTAAAAATGCCCATGAAAAAGCTTCATTTTGCTATAAGTCAAAAAGTTTAATAAATGTTGACTAATAAATGATGCACAGGGTTATCACTAAAAAGGAAAACATTATATTAACATCAGTTGTGCTATTATGCCACAGTTTAGATTGTTCTGTCTTATACCTTATGCAACTACTGAAGGCTTTTGTTAGCTGGGTGTGGAATTTTACCAGTTCAGACCATTGGCATTTTCAGCCACTTCACATTTATTTTTAATCTATGTAAATGATGATATTGTATTTTAGTCTCTGGAGAAATAGATTCTCCATGCTTGTTTATCATATAGATAATTGTAGGATTTTTCATTTTCTTGCTGTTCGGTTCTTTGGATATTGCAAATGGAGCTAATTGTTGGCAGTTAGAAACTTTAAATGTTTTTTGAAGCTAAATAACAGATTGCTTATAATGGAGCCACAGGAATTTAAACAAAGTCAGGATCTGACCCAAAATTTTCTATTTAATTTGTATCAGAGTTTATTTTAGCATAAGAATGAACAGTCTAAGCATAAGAATTCTTAGCATGCAAATTAATAGCACATAAGTCTAGGTATATGTTCCTTTTACAGTCTCTGATGGCTTACACAGGTTTCCTTTAAGCTTTGGACACTGAATCCTAAACGTTCTGCTTATGCCTTTGAAAGAAACCAAAGGATGCCCTAAGCTTCTGCTTAGGGAGAAGAGAGATAGACCAAGGGAGATAAGCATCTCCAGAGGGAAATTCAAAATCTAATGAAATCGAGGATTATTCTCTCATTTTTCTCTCCCTTCTTTGCTTCAGAGTAGAGATTTCACTATTAAAAGACACAGTAGTCTCTGAGAGGAGTCACTATATCAGCAGGTGGCTTATTGGTAATGAGATTTTTTTTCTTTCTTTTTTTTTTTTTCTTTCTGTCTTTCTGTCTTTCTTTCTGTCTTTCTGTCTTTCTTTCTCTCTTTTTGCTTTTTTTTTTCATTACTTCCCAATTTACAGACACCACTTTAATTGCAGAATACCATTTCAGTGGGTGTATTTTCTCTCCCTTTATGCAGAATACTTGCTGATGATTATATACTTGCTAATGATTCTGTACATTCTACAATTCTATGATTAATGACATCTATGCGCATGCTTTGTACAAGAATCAACAGCAGAATAAATGTAACGAGAAATAATTTGAGCGTATATCTAGATCTGTAACTATATACTTCATGTTCTGCCAGGCCATTTGAAGGAGATATTTTTCCCTTCTGTGCCCCCTTCATGCAGTTTCTGCATGCTGGAATTTACTTGTCTGTTACATAGGGAGCTGAAAGCAGCAATGCGGCTGCAAGGATTGGCAGAAGGGAGCTGCTTCAAGGCTTTATGATTAAATGGAGCTGCTGCAACACACTGCAGTTGGAAAAGGGTGAGATCCTTGATAATCAACAGAAAACAATGTGTGTGACTGAGATTATCTGTTTCAAAATGACTGTAGATTGTCTTACTTCTTTAATGTGCTATATATAATTATATTAAAATTACATTTTATGTGCCTCTTTCACATTCATCTGTCTTACTCATTTTTTTTGTGATGCCCCTAAGAATATAGATAAATCAAGATATATCTTACTAATATTACTTCTTTTTTTTTTTTTAAAATGAAATATAAAGACTTTATGTGTTCAGATCACTTTTTTATGTGCCAAACCAAATAATTTAAAACTCATTGTTTTTATTAATGAGATTATTTGTTAGTCTTCATTTTCTCAGGCTCATGAAATGAAATGCAAAGAAAATACTATTTATGTAACATCATCTCTGGTGTTACATAATACACTCACAACTCAGAAGTGCATGCAATGCCTAACTTTAGATACCTAAATCTGATAGCTAAGTTAATTTTCTCTTTTCTTTCATTGCCTCTGGTGTCAATGGAAATAAAAAGAAGCATTGAAAGAGTGATTCAGACCAGAAACCTGGCAACTGAAAATCAAGAAAAAATACATTTAAATTTAGGCACTTAGTAAACTGTCTAAAGCTAAATGGCACAAGCCCAGACTTAACACCAGTAAGCTGTGTTCCCTACAGAAGCTGTTCCTGTTGCTCTTCTTAAGTGAGCATTTGCTCAAGTGGAAATAAAAAGTTGACATTCTGGACCTGAGAAGTGTAAGCTTCAAGTAAAAAATGGTTGTTTAGAAGCTAAG